GATAAAAATGTTGGTATTAATGTTAAATTTTGGGGATAAGAATTTTGACATGGATGTTAAACCTTATGATAATGCTTCTTTTCAATGAATACCTGTAAACAGGTTTAAAGCTTATCACAGCAGAGAAACCATAAAAAACCTGGTTTGCTGTATGAATGGGGAAACTGAAGCACGCTGCCTCATGGGAACTATAACACAAACTGCCCTTGAACTGGTCAGTGACTAGCCCGTGTGTTAGTTAATGGGACATTGCTGAAAGAGGACAGGATGAAGGTGGTGCAAGCAACTGGAACTGCGTCTCCTGCTTTTCAGAAGTTTGAGTTTTGCAGATGTAGAGATTCTGCAAGGGGCTGATATTGCACCAGCAAACCTTAACTCTACATTAAGGGAGTGTTTTACACTTTCATTAATACTGCCCCCTCAGTATTAACTGGGCTGTGAGAGCTAAATGCTTAGAAAGAAAACAGTGAAAGTATCCATTGACTCATTTAAAACAAATCATGCCCCTCCTGTCTGTACTGGCAATGCTTTACCCTGTAAATAGCTCTCATTTCGTTTCTGAGTTAATAATTTTTTAGCTAGTTTCCTATAAAATTGGCTTTGGCGTGAAATCTGAGGCCTAGTCTACACTAGCGCTACAAATCAATGTAAATTACACTACTTAAGCTATGTAAACTAGGTTACTCAAATTGAGGTAACTTACATTGACTTAATGCGGTGTCTACACTGCAGTATATCAACGGAAGATGTTTTCCCATTGACGTACCTTCAGCCTTTTGTTGAGGTGTATTGATTAAGATACAGCTGTCCTGTCAACTCATCACGTCTTCGCCAGACCACTGCATCGACCTCAGTGGTGCCGATTTAGCCCCATAGTGTAGACAAGGCCTAAGGTGCAGGTGAGCTAAGTACGTGATTGGTCCCTCGAGACTGGAAGTAACCTAAATATCTTCTGATGTTTGGAGTAAAACATCACACCCTTAAGTGTGCTTGTGTGGTAAGATAGATTGGAGCGCCCAAGGGGACTGGGGCTGCACTGTGAATCTGTCATAGTGCTTCAGGAGTTCACGGTTGGGCCGCTGAAATCTAATCATGGAACACAAATCCAGTTTGGGGGCGTCTGCCCTGTTCTTTTACAGTCCATTGTGAGGTTGGCACTCCCGGTTATGAGCCACGCCAGGCAGCGTGACACTTCCGTCCCTGAGCTGTTGCTAAGGCTTGGTCTACACTGTGAAATTAGGTTGGTATACCTATGTTGCTCGGGGGTGTAAAAAATCCATACCCCTCAGTGATGCAGTGAGACTGAACTAATCCCCACTGTACACAGCTGTGTCAGTGGGAGTGCTTCTCTCTGACACCAGCCCCAAATTCCCTTTATGCCCCCATCAATGCCCCCAACCCCACACAACTTCCCATCACCACCCCACAGCCCAACTCTGCACACACACCATCACCTCTAAACCATCCCAAATCCCCTTGATACCTCCACAGTCTCCATGACACCACCCTCCCGAAATTGTCATCACTCACTTCATCAACCCCAACCCTGCACACACCCATTTTCCCTTCCAGCTGTCCCCAAACCTCCTAAAATCATGAACCCTCCAATCTCACATACCCCTCTCTCACTCATCGTCGCCCATGCGGCACACAACCCCATGCTGCAAACCACCCCAAATCCCCCTTACATCCTCCATCAAGCTTTTCCCTGCACATACCTTTATCCACCCCTAACCATATGCACACACCCAGCACCACCCACAAATTCCCTCCATCACCTCCAGCTATGCACAGGACCCCATCACATCCAACCAGCATGACCTTACTGATACAGCCAAGACATCCAGGGAAGTTTGAGTTTCCCTCAAAACAAATAAAAGGTGTCTACAGGTGTACGTTATAATAAACAAGACTGGGTAACTGATATGGGGTGCTGATGATTCAATTGTGTTCTGGAATTGCTAAGAGTTCCTGATGCATCCGAAGAAGTGAGGTTTTTACTCACGAAAGCTTATGCCCATATAAATCTGTTAGTCTTTAAGGTGCCACCAGACTCCTTGTTGTTTTTTTAAGAGTTCCTTGTTATTTCAGATGGGTTCTGTGAGGGGTGAAAAAAATCACCACTTGAAAGATGTTAACTCATTAAGAACTGTCAATTGTCACAGCTTTTAGTAATAATGACCAGGTTAGAAATGTCATTTTACTCATCAATCATAAGAATGGCCATACTGGGTCAGACCAAATGTCCATCTAGTCCAATATCTTGTTTTCCGACAGTGGCCAATGCCAGGTGCTTCAGAGGGAATGAACAGAATAGGTAATCATCAAGTGATCCATCCCATGTCATCCATTCCCAGCTTCTAGCAAACAGCGGCTAGGGACACCATCCCTGCCCATCCTGGCTAATAGCCCTTGATGGACCTATTCTCCATGAACTTATCTAGTTCTTTTTTGAACCCTGTTATAGTCTTGGCCTTCACAACATCCTCTGGCAAAGAGTTCCACAGGTTGACTGCGCATTGTGTGAAGAAATACTTCCTTTTGTTTGTTTTAAACCTGCTGCCTATTAATTTCATTTGGTGACCCCTAGTTCTTATGTTATGAGGTGTAAATAACATTTCCTTATTTACTTTCTCCATACCAGTCATATCCCCGCTTAGTTGCTTCTTTTCCAAACTGAAAATTCCCAATCTTATTAATCGCTCCTCATCTGGAAGCCGTTCCATACCCCTAATCATTTTGTTGCCCTTTTCTAAACCTTTTCCAATTCCAATATATCTTTTTTGAGATGAGGTGACCAGATGTGCATGCAATATTCAAGATGTGGGCATACTATGGATTTATATAGAGGCACTCTGATATTTTTTTGTCTTATCTGTCCCTTTTCTAAGGATTCCTAACATTCTGTTCAGTTTTTTGATTGCTGCTGCACATTGAGTTGATGTTTTCTGAGAACTATCCACAGTGACTCCAAGATCTCTTTCTTGAGTGGTAACTGCTAATTTAGACCTCATCATTTTATGTGTGTAGGTAAACTGATGGCCATCAATGAAATTCCATCAGTAGTTGGAAAAACAGAACACGCAATAAAATTTATCATGGGAAAATATTTTTCCTTGTCAAAAGAAGTTTCTTTGTCTCATACCCTATAAAAGGAGTGGATTGGAAAGTTAGCTTTGTGAATGAACACCATCAGCACTATACCAGGCACAGATGCAAAGACCAACTAACTTCTCTTCACCGTCTATAAAGGGCGGTAATGTACATCTTCTTTCTGTATAATGCAGCATTAGGCTTTCGTCAAATAACTTCATTTGACCACGCATGCTGATCTCAAATCTTTATTCTATTCAAACCCACCACAGGCTCTTCTGTAAATCAATGATGAAAATAGTCAGCAATGCTGGGAAGTCCAAAGTGAGCTCCATTGGCTGAAAAGCAGGTTGATGGTGCAGTAATAGCGCTGTGGTGCAGGACAGTCGCTAGGATTGGGGGGGGATATCTCTGAGGGGCAGAGGGTATGGGTGAGATCCCAGTATTAATGGCTGGCCTCTCCAGGAGATGCTTTTGTTTCATTTACCATCATCAAGATGGTGTGTGGGGGGGTCATCTTGGGATAATGGATGCCACGGACCACTACTGCCCCCAGCAACGGGCATGGAGACCCTCACGCCGCACCCCCACCAATGCCCCCCAGCTGGGGTGAGGTATCTCTGTATTCAGAGCACAGACTACCCCCCGCCACAAACTCTGCTGACTGGGATCCAGCCCTGCTGCAAAAGCAACAGCTATAAGCCCGCCCCTCAATAAGCCAGAAACCCTCCAGCAAAGAATCATGGGCCGCTCAGGGGGGGGAGGAGAATGTGCTTTCCATGTGGCTTTGAGAACATGAGAACAGCCACACTGGGTCAGACCAAATGTCCATCTAGCCCAGTATCTTGTCTTCCACAGTGGCCAATGCCAGGTGCCCAAGAAAAATGAACAGAATAGGTGATCATCCAGTGATCCATCCCCTGATGCTCATTCCCAGCTTCTGGCAAACAGAGGCTAGGAACACAATCCCTGCCCATCCTGGCTAATAGCGATTGATGGACCTGTCCTCCATGAATTTATCTAGTTCTTTTAAAACGCAGTTATAGTCTCGGCCTTCACAACATCCTCTGGTAATGAGTTCCACAGGTTGACTGCGTGTTCTGTGAAAAAATACTTCCTTTGGTTTGTTTTAAACCTTCCAC